GACGTATCCAACGCCTTCCTACACAGAGATCTACCCGATGACATCTACATGCGCCAACCACCCGGCTTCACCGATCACGATCAACCACACACGGTGTGCAAGCTTCAAAAATCCCTCTACGGATTAAAACAAGCACCGCGACAATGGTTTCAAAAACTAACTAGCTTTCTCCAACAACAAGGCTTCGGGTTCAGTCGTTCCGATCCCTCGCTTCTAATTTTACACAAAAACAATATTCAAATGTATATTCTTATTTACGTCGATAACTTCTTGGTGAAAGGCAACGACGACACCGCCATTCGATTACTCCTCAAACAACTGCAAACTCAATTTTCCCTCAAGCAACTTGGCAACATTTCGCTCTTCCTCGGAATTCAGGTGACATGTTCCAAATATGGCTATTTTTTATCTCAAGAACATTATGCTACTAAACTCCTTAACGATGCAGGCTACAAGGATTGCAAAGCCACTCCTACCCCGGTCTCGCCATCCACAAAATAGACAGAACCAAATCGCCACCCATTTCCGGATCCATCTCTCTACCGCCGCCTCGCTGGATCACTTCAGTACCTCTCCATCACTAGGCCTGATATCGCCTTCGCAACAAACCGGGTTTGTCAACACATGCAGTCTCCAACCGAACAAGACTTCAAAGCACTCAAACACCTCCTCTGCTACATCAAAGGCACACTGTCATTCGGACTACCTATTGAAGTCGGCTCACTGGATCTGCGATCATATTCAGACGCGGACTAGGCTTCAGACACTACTGACAGGAAATCGGTTTCAGGCTTTTGCACCTTTCTTGGTCCCAACCTTATTTCGTGGACGGTGAAAAAGCAGGCGACCGTGGCTAAATCCTCCACCGAAGCCGAGTACAGACCCCTCTCTGCTGTTGCTTCAGACGTGATATGGCTTCGTCGTCTTGCCAACGAACTCAATCTCCCGCTCCGACCATTATTCATTGCGATAACACGTCAGCTATGGCCATTGCCAAAAACCCGATTTTTCATGCTAGAACAAAGCATATCGAGATCGACTACCACTTCATTCGCCAGCAATTTGGTTCCGGCAACATCAAACTCGAGCACATCTCCTCCAAAGATCAAATAGCTGACATTCTAACGAAGCCCTTCTCAATCGCTCGGTTCATAGAATTACGGAACAAATTAAACATTCGGGCACCGAATGCTTAATTTGAGGGAGGCTATTAGCATATAAAACAATACCCTCGCTATCTTTACCTGTATTTACCGCTTTACCTTTATTTCATTCTATATTAAGTTCTTCTCTGTATCAGTTTTGTTTGATAATAATAGATTCTATTTTCTTTCTCTGCCTCCATTCCGGCTCTCTCCGTCTTCCGTCCTTTCTTCTTCCTGCTTTTCTTGTTTTCTCTCAATTGACTTAGAAAAATTATATGATAAAGTTCCAAGAGAAGTGCTATGGAGAGTTCTTGAAAAAAAAAAGAGTTAATAATGTTTAAATTCAAATCATTAAAGATATGTATGCAAGAGCTATTACTTGTGTTCAAACACAAGGTGGTTTGACCAAGTATTTCCCAATTTCGGTTGGGTTACATCAAGGATCAGCCTTAAGCCCATATCTTTTTGCTTTAGTCATGTATGTTCTCACTAGATATTTGCAAGAGGATGTATCTTGGTGTATGCTTTTTGCTGATGATATTCTTCTTATTGATAAGACTAGAGATAGTTGAAAGTAAATTTAAATTATGGAGGTCAACATTAAAGACTAAAGGTTTTCGCTTGAGTAGATCTAAAATGGAATATATGGAGTGTAATTTTAGTAGTAATAGACCAAGTGAGGGGATTGTGATTTTGAGCGATCAAGTCATTAATAAGAGTACACATTTTAGATATATTGGATCTATTGTTCATAGTGATGGTGAAATAGATTGGGATATTATCAGCAGAATTCAAGTTGGACGGTTGAAGTTGAGGAATGCATCGGGCTTGTTGTGTGATAGAAAATTACCCCTTAAACTTAAGGGAAAATTCTATGAGATGGCAGTGAGGCCTGCAATGCTTTATGGTACTGAATGTTGGCCATTAAAAGAGAAGTATAATTCTAAGTTAAGTGTGGCAGAGATGAGGATGCTCAGGTGGATGAGTGGCTTTACCCTTAGAGATAGGATACGAAATGAGCATATACTTGAAAAGGTTGGAGTAGCTCCAGTAGAAGATAAGATTAGAGAGAGTCGCCTTAGATGGTTTGGTCACATAAAACGGTGGCCTTCCAATTACCCGGTTAGGAGAGTAGATGTATTAGATTTGACTTATGTTAAGAAAGGTAGAGGCAGACCTAGAAAGACTTGGTTAGAAAAATATTATGAATGACCTTTCTTTATTAGATTTTAATGAGAATTTGACCTTTAATATGACACAATGGAGAAAAAGAATTCATATAGCCGACCCCACGTAGTGGGAGAAAGGCTTGATGTTGCTGTTGTTAAAAATAGTTTTTCATTTAAAAAATAAAAATTGTACATAAAAATTTACTTTAAAAAATAATAAAAAAACCATCCCAAACAAAATCTTATAGAGCTATTTTCTTGTCCACATTTTATTATATTCCTAGTCAACATTTTCTTGTTGAATTTAGTAAATTTTGGAATAATCTCTTCTTAAAAATCTCTTTTTGAGAGTTCTTCCCAAACTTCAAGCTGCCTCCACTTAAGTGACCCTTCCCAAAATATAGATTAGGATGAATTACATGTAAAATTATGCTCAAGCTTTAATTTGTCCCCGACATTAAGGCTGGTGCACTTAACATGAATATTTTTAATTTGCTTGTAGTTTACTCTATGGTCGTGCGGAAGTTCTGTGGCGATCGGCAGTTGGGTGGAAGTTCAGTGGCAATAAGCTGCCTTGTGGAAGTCCGACGGCGGCTAGTGGGCGGGCGGTGGTCCGATAACGATCAACAAAGGTTCGACAACGATGGCACTGGAGCTCTTGATGCCTCATAGCTCTCTCCAATTTGAAGCAAAATGTGAACCCTTTAAGAAAAAGAAACTAAACTCTTAAATATTGAGGCATCTTTTTGTGTAATGATTGAAATTTTATTTAAGAAACTCCGTAGTTAAGCATGCTCATCTCAGAGCAATTCTGGGATGAGTGATCTACTGAAAAGTTACACCAATAGGATAAAACCATGAGACTCTTAGCCAAAGCGAATAATATCTCGATAGTTGAGAGTTTGAGCTATTATAATTGGTATCAGAGCAACACACCAGTCAAAAAATGAAAAATAAATGTCATATAAGACAAAGTGCTACACTATGGTAGCCATCACTTGAACCTTGTAAGGGACAAAGTGTTATATGATGGGAGCCACCACTTAAATTCGTAGGTGCCACCTCTAGAATCTTATCCACCTGGTCGATGATTATGAGATAAAAATACTAACAAGAATATTAGTTACTTAAGAGGGAGAGATTGTGAAACCCATCAAGTAAAAAAACTAAACTCTTAAACATTGAGACGCCTTTTGGTGTAATGGTTAGAATTTCAGTTAAGAAACTCTACAATTAAGCTTGCCTCCACAGTTAAGTGTGCTTATCCCAGAAAAATTCTAAGATTGGTGACCTACTAGGAAGTTACACTAACAGAATAAAAATTGTGAGGCTCTTAGGCCAAAGCGGACAATATGTCAATAGTTAAGAGTTTGAGATGTCAAACAAAAGTCCCCTTTCATGTAGAGAGTGGGGTCTTTTTATATATTTTTAGAGTGGCATGCCTAATAACTATGGAGAAAATCTAGACCAGTTTGGAGTTGTAATAGCCCGTATTGACTTTGTCAATTTTTTCTGAAGTCATTATAATTCCAAATAGCAAATCGTCTTCGTCATAATATTTTGATTGTAGTATTTTACTTACATAAATTTTTTTCGTAATTATTGTGCACCTATGAAAATTCTTAAAAAATTGGTATATGTCAGTATAAGTGAGAATTTCGGGATCGTCATGTATACATTTTGCAAAACAATTTTATCGATATTTTTAAAATAAAATGATTTATTTTATGGATATTTTTCTATAATTTTTAAATCCCAATATGATTTATATTAATTTTATATTAAAAAATTTGATTAAATTATATAATTCTTGACTATTGTATATGCTTTTGGGAATGAATATAGATTTCTACTTTGATTTTTTATATTATATAATCTACTTTGTCATTTATCACCGATAGATGATATTAAATAACTATGATTATTATTTATTTAAAGAATAATAAATATTTTTCAAATTTAGATTTTGTGGCATCACATGAGTGCTCCATCGGACAGCCCATATTGATCCCCTTGATCATAAAGCGTTTACAAATTATTTGTGTGCCCAAATCATGTCAAAATTAATTGATCTTAGACTCTTCAGATTTGTCTCGTTAAGCTGCTTGATTCAACTGTAAGCATATTATATTTGAGTATCATTTGAGTCATCCAATTTAGGCTTTGAACCTTTCAAATAAGCTTCGGGCCCCCGATTTGGACCCATTTGTGCTCGTATTGGACTGATTTTGGCGTCGTTAGGTTCGTCTCTTCAAGACATTAAATTTGTTGAATTTGGAGTTCAAATGGTCCATAATCTAATTTTGAAAAATTTCAGCTTGGAAATGCCTAAAGGAGGCAATTTTCGGTGATGCATATAACATGATTCTTTGCCTGTAGTTGTGTTCTATGAAGTATATGAAAAAAATAATATATATATATATATACCTGTAAAAATAAAAATAAAAATCTTATTTTGAGCATCTTAACTGAAAGAAATAAATAAAAAGGAAAATAACTTAGATGGCTCACAGCCCAGAAAAGAATAAAATGAAAAATCTCCAGTCCTCAATATCTCGCCTTTCCAGAACCATCTCCGACACACTTGTAATTATAAACTTAATCAGACATCATCAACCAACAAAAAGCTTAAAAAAGCCATTATCTTCACCTCTAATTACGCCATTCTTTTCCGGTTTTCCCCACCTGTTCTATAAAAAACACCCTATCCCCTGGCCGCTACTCTACTCTTCACCCGTAAAGCTCTCTTCTTTCCCCCACACTCGCCTTTGCTCTTGCAGATTTCGGAGAGAAACACTGAAACAGGGAAGGAAAGATGCAGGGGAAGGAGGAAGACGTTAGCTTGGGAGCGAACAAGTTCCCTGAAAGGCAACCAATAGGAACGGCAGCGCAGTCGGAGGAGAAGGACTACAAGGAACCGCCGGCGGCGCCTTTATACGAGCCCGGGGAGCTTAGGTCTTGGTCCTTCTACAGAGCTGGAATAGCAGAGTTCGTGGCCACTTTCCTCTTTCTGTATATCACTATACTGACTGTGATGGGAGTGGTCAGCTCGAACAATAGGTGTAAAACAGTGGGGATTCAAGGGATCGCTTGGGCTTTTGGTGGAATGATCTTTGCTTTGGTTTACTGTACTGCGGGGATTTCAGGTGAAAGAACTTCTTTCTGCACTTCTCTGTTCTTTTTTTTTAGTGGGAGTTTTTAGCTTTTCTTTTCTTAGTTTGAAGGTCATGGGCTTTTTTTATGAGATCCAAAGCGTTATAGGTTTTTCCTTTTGTTTTGAAGTTTGTAAACTCTTATGGTTTTTGTTGGGTTATATATCCACCTTAGTTTCCTCTGTAGATTTGGAGCTATATGCTCTCTGTTTTCTTCTTCTTTTTCTTGCTTTTAAGCTATGGTTTACTGTTCTTCTTCCACCTTAACGGATTTTTTTTTCGGCCTCTCTGTGTATCAAAGATGATGGTTTTGTTCAAGCTTATTTATCCGTTTAGGTTTGTTTATGTTTTTTTCTTAATAGTCCTTCCAAGCTCAGAAATCAGTCGTTTTTTAAGCTGATTTAAGCTATGCCCAGCTTTTCTTCACTCAGGGGAAAAATCAGGATAAGCCAAGCTCTCCTCCTACATGCTCAAGCTGGCTCTGTAAAAATCCAAAAACAAAAATCTTTTTGTCAACTTAATTTTTTACCAACCAAACGGCTGAACTTTGGAGCCATATGTGATTACTTCTGTTTTTTATTTTATTTTGTTAAATTTTGATATGAAACAAAATATATTTAATATTTTAAAATATTTTTTTTTTCAAATTTAGAAGAAATTCCCCATCCTTTGCTCTATTATAAGCAGTCTCTGATTCTTTTACCCCAAAATTGGATGAATTGATTTAACTTCCTAGAGTTTAGCTATAAATATATATTTTTTATTATGTCCAATCATTCTTCAAATAATGCCTATTAGTCCTGTTTAGACATTTTTGTAGACCTATTGTTTATTTTTTATTTTTAATTCTAGTTCTTTGGGGTAGAATATTATCAACTAGATCTGATTATTCTCAGAAGTTTTCTGAATTTTCTTGTTCTTGATACTATTTGAAGCTATCTAGCTATTAAGAAGCTGTATTAGATTGTTATCAGAGACATATTAATCAACATATTTAAGGAAGCACTGAAGCAGCAACTATATCATCATAAGATATTCTTAGACTGTTCAAAATGTTTATTGTTAGGGCATCCCCAACCGAACACCAAACATTCCTATGACGTCGTTTGGTCGCTCCAGCCGAACGCCAAGTCTTCCGCTATTTGCTTGCGGGTGAACAGTGTGACGCCAATATTGACGTTGCACTGTTCACCTAAGCGATTTTTCTATCTCAATCGGATTTGCCGAAGAAGAGCGAAAGGGGAGAAAGACGATTACCTTCGCAAAAGCGCGCAAAATGGAGTTCAATAGGAGATGAATCACTGCATTTTTTAGTTTCAATGTATTTTAGAGTGAAAAATGAGATTTTCGGTTGGAGATGCCATTAAGCAAATACTACTAACAAAGTAGTTTGATTGTTTTCCGTTGAACCAAGAAAAAAAAAAGGGAATTTGTCAGAAAATTTGAATTTTCATCTCTGGTTATTGTTGTTGATGTCAACTATCTCTGGTGTGAGCAGGAGGACACATCAACCCAGCAGTGACTTTCGGGCTCTTCCTGGCTCGGAAGCTCTCCCTCACTAGAGCTCTTTACTACATGGTGATGCAATGCCTCGGCGCCATTTGTGGTGCTGGTGTGGTTAAGGGCTTCAAGAAGGGCATCTACATGGCAAACAATGGCGGGACAAACACTGTGAGCCCAGGGTACAGTAAGGGCGACGGCCTCGGCGCCGAGATAGTTGGCACCTTTGTTCTCGTCTACACTGTCTTGTCTGCCACTGATGCTAAGAGGAATGCCAGAGACTCTCATGTCCCTGTGAGTAATCTTCCTCTGTGATTTCTGAATTCATATTAGCGAATACATGAAGGTATAACATATTACTCTATTTGCAGATCCTTGCACCACTTCCAATTGGATTTGCTGTCTTCCTTGTTCACTTGGCCACAATTCCAATAACAGGAACTGGAATCAACCCAGCCAGAAGCCTTGGAGCTGCTATAATCTACAACAGATCCCATGCTTGGGATGATCAGGTTAACTTCACTCTTACCACTAACCCCTCCTAGGCTTCGTTTGGGATGACTTTCTTAATGTTTTTTAAAATAGCTTTTTAGTATAAAAGTTAATGTTTATGTACTAGAAAGCATCTTTAAAAAACTGTAAAAAAGCTGTCGTAAACAAAGCCTTAGAATTCTACTGAATTGAGAAGCTCTACTCATCATCTTAGTATGTTTTTAACCTCAGTGGATCTTCTGGGTTGGACCATTCATCGGAGCTGCACTTGCTTCTATATATCACCAGGTTGTCATAAGAGCGATTCCATTCAAGAGCAGGCGTTGATTCTTCATATGAAGCTGCAACTTCTATCCATTTCTGCCATGTGAGCCTTTTTTTCTCTTATTTGTCTCCTTCTCTCCTTTCTGTGGTGTATTGAAGCTATGCTTCTTGCTTATCTGCTCTGTAAATTATTATGGCAATGTTTGTGGACCAGCTTTATGGTGTTTGAAGTGTTGTTCTTATCTTCTTATCTTTAGCATTTTATGTTGCATCATTACAATAAGTGTTTGTTGACAGGTATGTTTGAATGTCTCAAAAATAAAGTAGTGTTTAGGGTCCCTAATTGTTGAAAAATATATATAGAGAGAGAGAGGGAGAGCGAGAGAGAGTGGCAAGGGAGGAGAAATTATTACCTGCAGAGTACAAACACGTATTATATACACCTTATGTACAAGTTACACAGGGTGTTGTGTACAAACCATGTGGCTTGTACACAATAGAGTCTAGAGACGGTTGCATCCGGAAATCGCATGTAATAATCCCTACCAAGGGAGGGTTAATTATTATGTGCGGATGCTGAACTCCATCCGGAGATCAACCATAATGCATCATATCACCCTATACTCGGTATTGCGGTTTAGTACTGCTAACATGACGCATTCTGGTTGGCACAGATGTTCATGATATGATGAATATTTTCATAAGTGTATTGTGTTGGTGATCCAACCCTATGTAGATTCATTTCATTAATATGGTAAACGCATGAAGGATGATGATGATGATGATAATGACATGATGATGTTGATGTTTGTTTGAAAGTGGTGTAGTTGGCTGTAGTGGAAATAATGATAGCTGTTGGGGGAGCCCACTGATATCTTTAAGTCTGAGCAACCATCACATGGGTGGTGTTGAACTATACTCTGGTTGGGGCTAAATATTTAATTTTCTTTTACTTAGGTGTGTTTTTGCAATTTTGTTCCATTATTGCCTAAAAAAGAAATATTTTACTCTCTGGCTTTTTTTTTTTATTGCCTTTTAGCATCCAATGGAAACTTGTTGTGGCTTGCATGTGGCTTGAGAGGTAAAGGTAGGCCTGATATTTAATAAATAAGCTTTTTTTTTCTTGTATAGTTTTATTGAGAAATAAAAAATATATTTATATATATTTTTTGTTAGGATGAATTAAAAAAAAATAGATTTAATTTCAGATTAATATTAGTCTCAGCATAAATTAAAAAAATTGGTAGTCCTACTCACAGGGCTAGGCTCGTTCATTTAGACTAGTTGGGCTTAGACAGGCCTAAATTGGCCCAGATAGATAAGCCCATTTTTGTTCTTAATGGACCATCAAACTGCTTTCATTCTGTATATTTCACATAGAATTTTGTTCCATTATTGCCTAAAAAAGAAATATTTTACTCTCTGGCTTTTTTTTTTTATTGCCTTTTAGCATCCAATGGAAACTTGTTGTGGCTTGCATGTGGCTTGAGAGGTAAAGGTAGGCCTGATATTTAATAAATAAGCTTTTTTTTTTTCTTGTATAGTTTTATTGAGAAATAAAAAATATATTTATATATATATTTTTGTTAGGATGAATTAAAAAAAAGATTTAATTTCAGATTAATATTAGTCTCAGCATAAATTAAAAAAATTTGTAGTCCTACTCACAGGGCCAGGATCGTTCATATCGACTAGTTGGGCTTAGACAGGCCTAAATTGGCCCAGATCCGTAAGCCCATTTTTGTTCTTAACGGACCATTAAACTGCTTCCATTCTGTATATTTTATATAGAGTGATTTATATATTACATCTAAATTTCATTATTTATCGGCATAATATTCAAAATTTTGAATAACATAAAAAATCAACATCTTCTTCACCCTCTCATTTTCAATCCATGGTGAGGGAGAGTTTGTTGGTGGTGAAATTGACGGCATCGGTGGGTTTTCGAGACCGATGTCTTCGATCGGCAAGGAATTGAGAGTTTTAGGAGTAAAAAATGAGAGTGGTTGAAAATTAAAAGACGAGATAGCGAAAGCGGCGAATCACGGATCCGGCTATCCTTCGTGATGAAAACTCATTATGACTTCTTCATCTCTTTTTGGTTTGTTAAAGCTCTATCTTGAAAGGGAAACAGAGAGGTGGTGGTCAAAACCTAATCCTAACAAGATCCTATTGCAATTTCCTCTTCATTGTCTTGGGTTTTGTTAAGTTCGATAATCGAGTTCTAATTGTGTAAATATTAAAGGTTAAATATTTTAATTAATTTAATAAGTTTAATATTTTATCCTAAATATATTAAATAAACGATCTTGGGTCTATTGTTGATGGTGAAATAGATGAAGATATTATTAGTGGAATTCAAGCTCGATGGATGAAGTGGAGGAATGTATCAAGTTTGTTGAGTGATAGAATTGTACCACTCAAACTTAAGGAAAAACTCTATAAGATGGTGGTTAGACCTGCAATGTTTAACGGCGCAGAATGTTGGTTAAGTATAATTAAGTTGAGTGTTGCAGAGATGAGGATGCTTAAGCGGATGAGTGGGTTTAATCTTAGAGACGGGATACGAAATGAGCATATACGTGAAAAAGGTTGGAGTAGTTCCAATGGCAGATGAGATTAGAGAGAGTCGTCTTAGATGATTTGGTCACATAAAACAACGGCCTTCCAATCAATCGATTAGGAGAGTTGGTGTACTAGATTTAGCCTATGTTAAGAAAACGTAGATCTAAAAGGATTTCGTTAGAAAATATTAGAAATTATTATTTTTTAATTAGATCTAAATAAGAATTTGACTCTTAACCGGACACAATGAAAAAAAAAAAAATTTCATATAATCGACCTCACGTAGTGGGATAAAATCTTGATGTTGTTGTTTAAATAGTTCAACAATTGAACTGACCGATTCAAATGAATCGAAACTAGTTTGCCAGTGGAATTGATACTTTCGATTGATTCGTTGGGTTCGATGAAAAATGCAATTTTGGAGATGAACCAGACTTGCTATATGATCGGTCCATGGTTGGAATAGTCGAAACCAATCAATTCAGTCCAATTTTAAAAAAGCTTGATGGCTTATATGCATAATCATTTTAAATCTTGATTTTAATATCTTTACTTTCTCCTTCTCTATGTTTTAAATACTAGATTTAAAAATCCATCATGTACTAAAAATTATGATTATATTTCAATTGTTCTTAATATTTTATTTAGAAATTAATTTATTAGTAAATTTAATCATTTTATTGTATTTATTTTAAAATATTATGTTCAACCCATTTGTAGGGCTTACAATTTAGAAGAATTTCTATGCGTTTGTGTCATTTTCTTTTCTCCTTCAGACGTCGTCGTTTCGAGCAATTTTTCTTCTGCGTTTACTCCATTCGGCCGATGTGACTTGTGGGTCAAATAATTTGGTTTAGACAATTAGTGCCAATAAATTTTCATGGCCGAAGTGGTTAAAAGCAATTTAATTCCATTTTTTAATTAATATGCTGAACAAAATTAGCAAAATTGTTATATTTTTTTTACAACTTTAAAATAATAATGATAATGATGACACTTCATGAAAAATCACATTGATTTAGCTCCAATCTTGAGACATTTGAATTGGAAACAATAAAAATTCAATTTTTCTGATCATCCGAACATCGATCTCAGCAAACTTATTATCAAATTGAACGTTTCGATAAGTCGAACCCGATGAGATCAAAATCGGTTCAATCCAAATTTAAATGGGCTCGAAAGAAAGGATAAAAGCTTATTTGAAATATTAAAAGCATTAATTGGATGACAAATTATTATTCAAACATGACATGCTTATAGTCAAATCGAGTGGCTCGATGAGACGAATCCAATGAGCCCAATATCACTCAATCCGACGTCATTAAGGCATGTAAATGCTTGATGAAAATTCTATGATCAAAGGATCCATTGTGAAAATAATCTCAAATAAAGTCTAAACTTTTTTGTTTCAATTTCGTTAGTCAAACTCCAAAAAAAAAACAATACAAAAAATGAGTAAAACTATCAAAAAAATTCTAATCAAGCCTAACCCTCACCTATAATCATATGAGCATCACGACTATCGTCCCATGATGATGTTAACAATATGGAAAGTGTATAACCTACGACATCAATGCATGTACACACATAACAACTTGGGATGCTTTTGAGGGGGGCTTTATTGTTTTTCGAGTTCCTACATGCACGTAACTCTCTTGTGTCTGTTAGTTGGGTGCTTTATCTATCAACTAAGATGTCTTAGATTTGAAGTTATTCTATGCGGACGCCGAACACAGTTCACTGCATGGAGACCAACGAGAATGCACAACGTCAGCAATACCGAGCGTGGTACCGAGCAACAATACCGAGTGAGGGGTGACGTGGTGCATTCTGATTAGTCTCTGAACGACGTTTATTGTCCGCACATAATAATTTACTGTGTGTGTGAGTCTAAACGTCGTTCCAGAATTCTCCAAAAAAAATGTTGCATGCTTGCGTTCTTTAGTGGCATCCCCTAAACTGTTTAAACCAAGTAATTTGGTCCACCACATGTGTAGTATTTTCATTCCAAACATATAATTTATTTTGGGACTTAATGTGGAAGTTCCCCAACCAAAAGTTTATGAATCAATGCATGTTGTCCTCCTTTTTGTGTGAGGTCTTAGGCTTCTATCATCTCTTCCTAGCATTTAAGTCTTCCTACCTTGATGCAAAAACCACATCTAGGATTTTTCTTAGGTGGACAGCTCATGACGTAGTGCTAATCAACCATGTATCATTCGATCTCAAAATAGAAATTCCTAAACAAAACTCTGTGGATTTATTTTCCCACAATGCATCCCATTTATTGGAATATATTCAAGAGATACAATATGAGATTTTTATGTTTGATAATGTTGATTAAAGTTATCAAAATATCACTTAAAAAATATAAATATTTCTCTCTCTCTAATTTTCTTCCTCTTTCTAACAATTCTGATCCTAAGAACTCTCTTTCTCTCTTTTCTAAACATTAATCTTACTTCATAAATGATATGTCATCAAAAAATTATCTTGATCAGGCACGAATCTCAATGCAAAATCAAGTTGGAAGCTTTGGAAATTAAAATTGGTACCATCTCAACTTTTATTTCAGCAAACCTACAGTCAAACTGGACGTCTCGAAAATACGAACCCAACGAAACTAAATTTGACTCAATCCGAGCCCAAATGAGTCCAAATCAAGGACCCGAAGCGATGTTGGAAGGTTCGAACCACAATTTGGATTGTCAAACGGCTTCCAAACATTATGTGCTTATAGTCAAATCAAGCGGCTCGACGAGACAAATCTGATGAGCCCAAGATCACCAAATTCCGACATCACTAAGGCATTGAAATGTCCATCAAACGATCCTTGATCAAGGGATTCAACATCGGCTGTCCATCCAAACACTCCCCATTTACCCTTGATCTCTCACCTGTTTATGGGACATTCCACTCAAGAAATCTATAAATAGACCCCTCATTTCTCTTGAAAGGGAGGCTCCAAGCAAGAGAGAGACCAGAGATCGCTCTTGCCTCATCACTCCTCCTCGACCACCACCTGAGTTCCGTCGGACCACCACCTGACGTCGTTGCTCCACCAAACCACCACGTGAGGCCCTCACCTCTGCTAGACCACCACTGGAGGCCCTCACCTCTACTGGACCACCTCTTGACGTCGTTGCTCCGCCGGACCACCACTTAAGGCCCTAAGCTCTGCCGCACCACCACTTGAGCCCTTCACCTCCGCCGGACCACCCCCGGACCACCACTTGAGGCCCTCACCTCCGCCGGACCACCGCCTGACGTCATTGCCCCATCGGACCACCACATAAGGCCCTGAGCTCCACTGGACCACCACTTGAGGCCTTGGTTTATGTTGGACTACCATCTGAGGCCCATACTTCTCCCAAATCACCACATGATGTTTGGACTTCTGTCAGACCACCGCCTGAGGCCTGGACTTATGCCAGACCACCATCTGAGGCCCAGACTTCTCCTAAACTACCATGTGATTCCTAGACTTCTGCCGGACCACCACCTGAGGCCTCGACTTTTGCCGGACAACCACCTGAGGCCCAAACTTCCGCCATACCACTACTTGAGGCCCTGGTTTCTGCTGGACCACTATTTAAGGCCCGAACTTCTCCCATACCACCATGTAACATCCGGACTACTGCCGGGCCACCACCTGAGGCCTGGACTTCTATTGGACCACCATCTAAGGCCCTAACTTCCACTGGACCACCACTTGAGGCACTGGTTTCTGTCGGACCACCATCTCAGGCCTAGACTTCTCCTAGACCACCACGTGACACCCAAATTAACCTGTCAACATTAGACCTGACCCAAAAATTTGACCTGAACTAGACCCGAAAATTTTGGGATTGGGTTGACCAGAACCCGAAGCGAGTGAGGTTAGGGTCTGGAAAACTGACCCGTTTGTAAAACTGGGTCAGGATCGGGTTGACCCGGAAACCCAGGAATGACCCGGAGAACCCATCTACCCTAGCTACCCCGCATTGCCTGCTCTGGCTGCCCCTTAGCCCCGCGTTGCCTGCCCCGGCTGCCCCACAACGCTTGTCCCGGTTACCCCGCCTGCTGCCGTCTCCCGCTTTACCTGCACCATCGCGTGCGGCATTTCCTGCACGACTGCACCAAATCACTGTGTTGCCTGCACCAAAGTGGGTCTAGTCGGGTTGACCCGAACTCGAAGCGGTCAGGTTCGGGTCCAGAAAGTTGATCCATTTATAAAAACAGGTCAGGTTGACCCGAACCCGAATATTGTCTGTTAGTTTCGGATTCGACCCGAACCCTACCCGTGACCCGAAATTGACACCCCTGGCCCAGACTTTTGCCAGACCACCACCTGAGGCCTGGACTTCTGCCGGACCACCGCCTAATGCCTGGAGTTCTACTGAAGTACAGCCCTACTACTATTGTCTTTCGGACCCCTATCTCTTGCTGACTACTGTCATTCCGACCTTCGTCGCCTATTATGGTCCTTCCGACCTCCATCACTACACCAATGGTCTTTCTGACCCCGGTCTCTTGCCAACTATGATCTTTCCAACATCAATCATCTACTATAGTTCTTCCAACCTCCATCACCAAACAACGGTCTTTCTGACCCCGATCTCCTCCCAAGTACGATTTTTCAGACCCCTGTCTCCTGTCAACTACGGTCCTTCCAACCTCCATCACCTACTATGGTCCTTCCGACCTCCATCACCAAACAACGGTCATCCTATCGACTATGGTCGTGCCGACCAAACAAACATGTCTATATTGTAACTCTGACCATGTAATGCGCTCTATATGATGTACATTTGTACCATCAAGCCAAGGCCTTCTCCCAAGGAATGACATCATTTGTAATCGACTGCAAATACTAGTGTATTCATTCAAACTAGATCAGGCCCCGTGGTTTTTCCCCCTTTTCAAGAGTTTTCACGTAAAAACTCTGATGTATCTTATGAACGTTACACCCTCTTTCTTATTTGATTGTGTGATGGATCTTTGTACAACGCTAAGACATTAAAATTATATATTTCTCTACCGCCATGAATATTCCAGGACGCTACAATAAACATTATTTTTGTATGAAGAAGACATATTTCTCTCTTATTTAAATGGCAAGTTGGATTTATGTTAAAAAAAAATTTATTTGGAGAAATAAGAAGTGACAAAGAAAATGAACAAAGCTTGTAAACTACAATAAGCAATGTACATATGGAGAAATTATTCAGTGCACAGTCAGGACGGGATGAACCGTTTGAACATGTGAGTGTATGCAGTGCGTACACATTTGTATACAGTCTGTACACTCACAGTCCGAACGAGAAAACGGTTTTTCTTGTCCAGACTCCGCACATATTAATTTCTCATATATATCCCACCATTAAAAAACTTATCAATTTTATATTTCAACATCATTTGTGCATCATAAAACTGTGTAAAAGAAAAAAAAAATACTTTCATTCATACTCAATCGTTTACTTGCAGAATGAACAAAAATCATATCTGATTATTTTTATTTGTACTTTTTTGACATAGTTAGCGAAGCTGCGAGAGAAGGATCTCTAATTCTCTACCGAATGAGAGCAGCAGATCCTTAGTCGCAACAAAGCAAAGCAAATAGTCATAGTTTGTTCATCTTTCAAATCTACCACATCCTTCGATAGGACTGAATCGTCACAGCAGACAAAGCATTAATGCCTTCAACAACCAAACCAAACTCTTCTATAATACACGCTCCCTTTCTTTCCCATTATTCGGTTGACCAAATCACCGTCCAATTTGATCAGAGCGTCTAACGGCACAATAATTAAAGAATTCTGTTTGACTAAGTATCATATATTTATTTATTTATTTATTAAAGAGTAAGTCAAAAAATTAAAATTAGTATGAAATTTCGTGTGAATGGATTTATGGCATATTAATAAAAAGGAGAAAAAAATCCAAATTGTTCATTATTTTTTTTTTAAGATTTAAAGATCTAAATTATCTCTAATTATATTAAAATATTTGATCTCTTAAATCTTTAAAAATAGTCTGATAATGGAATTGATGAATAAAAATAAAAAATATATATTAATTGGTAATATGGTATCCACTAGTTGCCACCCCCGTAAGAGTAGCGGCATGATTAATTCTTAGCTGACCTAGAAGAAGCACTCATCTCAGAAATCTTCTAACCCGCACTTGATTAAGCCCTATTTAAGAGGCGCTACGGCTCTAGGGGAATCGAGCACGGGTTGATCCTAATCATACTCGCCCACCAATCATGCTAAGCAACAATAGGTAAAAATAATTTTTTAATATAATTAATAATTATTTTAACCTTTCTTAGAGAGCCAATAAACTAGTTTGATTTATTTTCTCTAATAAAAAAGGATAATGATTTATATTTTATTTAAAAAAAATCTTACACGTCAGAAAATTCAGCTGACAGAATTTATTAGGAAAAAATAAAGAAAAGCAGCCGAAGGGCAAAACCGACCGTTGAGGGCGATAAGCAGAAGCCCGAATCGTCGTGTTCATATAAAGCGCGCGCCCGTATTTCCTTTCTCTTCACGCGCAAAAGCCCTCCCAAGCAGTGGATTCTCGTTTCTCTCACTCGAGAAGAACGAAGCGCGGATAAGCTATGCCGGCCGTACACAGGCCCTTCCCCTCCATCGCCGACTGCGACCTCTCCGGCCGCGATGCCCACACCGTCGCCGCCGACCTCGACGGCACCCTCCTCGTCTCCCGCAGCTCCTTTCCTTACTTCTTCCTCCTCGCGGCAGAAGCTGGAAGCCTCTTCCGCGCCGCTGTCCTCCTTCTCTTATCCCCGGTCATTTTCTTCGTCTACAAACTGGCCTCCGAAGCCGCCGGAATCCAGATCATGATCTACATCGCCGTCGCGGGAATCCCGATCCGAGACATCGAGCTCGTCGCCCGCGCCGTCCTCCCGCGATTCTACGCTGCTGATGTCCGAAAGGATAGTTATCGGGCTTTCCGGGCGTGCGGGCGGCGAAGGGTGGTGGTGACGGCGAACCCAACGGTGATTGTGGAGCCGTTTGTGAGGGAGTATTTAGGCGGGGATATGGTGTTGGGAACGGAGTTGGAAGTGGATTTGAAAACGGGGAAGGCTACAGGGCTCGTGGCCGGACCGGGGGTTTTAGTTGGGGGAAGGAAGAGGGATGCGATTGTGAAAGAATTTGGGGATGATTTGCCGGAGCTGGGGATTGGGGATCGGGAATCCGATCATGATTTTATGGCGATCTGCAAGGTTCGTACGTTCACTTTTCCCTCTCTGTTTTGCCTTTCTATCAGGCTTGATTCTGCACTGTCTTAGCCAGGTTCATAAAAGGGCTTAATTTCTATGATCTTCAAATTTAAATACATTGGGATGAAAAAAAATGATTAAATTTTGATCATAATGAGTTTTAAATTTTTTTTTTTATTTATAGATAAAAATAATATAAAATCAATAGCTTTTTACTTATTTTAAGTAAATTTAAGATTTAAGATTTTAATCAAAATTTTGTTACCTAAATTTTATCTTAATGTATGATTTTTCAGTTTGAAATTATAGAACTCTCTTTTCAATATTTGACACTTTTCAAATTAAAAAAAAAAAGTGAAAAAATAAAAATTTGATTTTGCGGTTAAAATGAACTTCACTTTATGATTAGAAAATTTGTGAGGAATATAAATTAGTTATTCTGACGGTAAAAAATAAATTTTCATGATAAATTTTTTTAAAAAAATATTGAAAAAGTAACAAAATAATTGCCTAATAAAATTATAATGTCATATGAATAGCAAAGGAGCAAGAAAATTGTCCCAAAAAAACTCTTAATCAACTCAATTATTAAAAAAAACTATTAAAAATAATAATATTTTTTTATGTTAAAAAATGGGGTTAAATATTTTTTGTATAGATTTTTCTGAGAATGATAAGATGACTCTAATGTTTAATATGACTTAGATTGATGAGTATGGGTATGGCATAGCCAAGTGGTTGGATCATAGATGCCCGTTTTAATGATTAGCAATGTTCTACCAAACCCAAATTTAATTCTCGTTTAATACATAATAAAGATATGGGCCCATGAAAGTAAGAACTTTTTTTTTTTTAAATGATATACAATATTAAAATAATAAAATTGTTGAAAAAAAAAATAGAGAAGCTTTCAATAGATTAAAGAATTTCTTTTCGTGTGTCGTCAGTAATTGGTCGCTTAAAGCTTTCAATTAATTGTTCCACTCATTGAGACGAGAGATTATTATGAGCAGAGTTCGGACACAGAGAACATTTCAGTTTTGTTACTGTGAAATGTAAAAACGCAGTGGTGAATAGTAATTGAGATTTTACTATTCACAGTCTCAAACCCGAACCGTTATGTGTCCGAACTTTCTCAAGTAATAATCTCTCCATTTGAGTATGGGGCAGTCTGGTTGGCCAAGTAAAATGTAATATGATATAAAATTAATATTATATATTTAATATACTTGGAAATTTTTTGGATGAGTGTAAGTTAAATATAGTTGATTATTTTATTTTTATTTTCTATTAGGGTATTGAAAGTAAAATAATTACAATGTAAATGCTTAAAGGTAGCGGCCAGTGGTTGTCAGTAGGCTTCGAGCAGTGGTGGCTGGTTGTGGCAGACGTTTGTAGGTGATAGAGGTGGAAGCGACTAGTGGTGGTTGTCGGCAAGTAGCGTGATGACCATCAAATATAAAGAATTTCAAATACATCAAAATTATATTAAATGTTGCATTTCATTTCACAATTAAATCAGGAAAAAAATCAAAATGAACCAATTGAATTTGAGTTTAATTTTTAAATTTATTTTATATTTATTTTGGTCATCAAAATAATGATTGCTATTTGATAATCTAATATTTGGTGAACCGCTGAACAGGAGGGTTATATGGTTCCACCAAACCGCGCCGCCCCGCGGGTGCCGGAGAGCGAGCTACAGAGCCGCACGATTTTCCACGACGGCCGTCTCGTCCAGCGGCCCGAACCGCTAACAGCGCTCCTAATCCTTCTCTGGTTCCCACTCGGCCTCTCCCTCGCCATTTTCCGCATATTCTTCAACCTCCCTATCCCCGTTCAACTGGTCCGCTACACCTACCGCCTCACCGGCATCCGCCTCTCCATCCGCGGCCTTCCTCCTCCGCCATCGTCCCCCGGCTCCCTCCTCGTCTGCAACCACCGCACCGCCCTCGACCCCATCCTTATCAGCATCGCCCTCGGCCGCTCCGTCTCCTGCGTAACCTACAGCATCTCTCGCATCTCCAGCATGCTTTCCCCGATTCCCAACGTCCCCCTCACCCGCGACCGCGCCACAGACGCAGCTCGCATCTCCGATCTCCTCCGCCACGGTGACGTCGTCGTCTGCCCGGAAGGGACGACTTGCCGCGAGCCATTTTTGCTTCGATTCAGCGCGCTTTTTGCGGAGCTCAGCGATCGGATCGTCCCCGTTGCCATCAACACCAAGCAGAGCGTCTTCGTCGGGACCACTGTTAGGGGGTTTAAGTTCGCTGATCCGTATTTCTTCTTTATGAATCCGAGGCCGGAGTATGAGGTGACTTTCTTGCCGGCGTTGAAAAAGGAGGAGACCTGCGGCGGCGGGAAGTCGCCGATTGAGGTTGCCAATCATGTGCAGAAGGTGATTGCGGATGAGCTTGGGTTTCAGTGCACGGAGTTTACAAGGAAGGATAAGTATCTTAAGCTTGGAGGGTACGATGGGAAGAAACGGTGAAAGATGCTCACAACGTGTTCGACCATATGCCTCATTACCGATTTTTTTTTCATTTTCTGGTAATAGTCTGCGTCTATGTTTTAAATTATTATTATTTTCTTTTCTTTTGTTGTGACAATTATTTTCTTTATTTATATTGAGATCTGAATGGCTTGCAAACTTGGTAAAATTTATGATTTTTTAATTTTTTTAACTTTTTCATTACTTTTATTTTCGTCTATATTTCCTGGATGAAATAAAAGTTTGGAAATATTATTTTAATTTAAGTCCTGACATTTAATTTTGATTTTGGTGATTTCAATCTATTTTAGAATTTATTTTATAGTATCATTTTGGTTTTTTAATTTTAAAAATATATTCAAGTTAATAAATTATCTAATTAAAATTGAAGTTATAACATGCATAAAATTAGAGATTATCAACATACAAGCTCAAAAAAAAAAAATTTTAATAGTTTTTCATTATTTTTTTTTAACACTGACAATTTATATTTGTCTTATATGTGTTCCTACTTTTTAAAAGCAAAAAATTATTTTTTATAATCATAATTACAAAAGTATGACTAATTCAGGTTTAAACGGTTATTTGTTTGTATGTGTCATTCCTTATAGGAACATTTCAACTTTTTGGCCCTATTCAATATAAAAAAATATTATCATATTTTATTATGTTACAATCGATATTATTTTCAAGTGATTATCAGCGCATTGTGTCCAATGCAATGCCAAAACCCCTCGTCATAAATGGATTAAGACTTTGGATTTGGGCATTTTTTTTGTAATTGAGCAATGTCGAATAAGTCGACAAAGAAAAATTACCCTCGTATAGGATTATTTATAATTTGCGGACGTCGAACGCTGTCTGGAGATTAATCAGAATGTGTCATGTCATTCTTCGTTGTATACCGCGTCTTGGTACTGCTGAAGTGGTTGCACCTGATTCGCCTCCGGACTTAGAGCTACGTCCAGCCTCCACACAGAATAATCTTTCTTCATATAGGGATAGGTGATGGGTGTGAGTGAGTTAAGTCAGCTTGATAAATGACTCATGATACAAATTCGATATGCTAATGATTCAAGTATGAGTCAGGCCCGACTTGACTCGTTAGTTGGAGGGCTGACTCGTTTAAAAAATATTACTATAAAATACACTTAAAAAAAATATCAGAATTCAAGATTTAAAGTATAAGATTATTATAAATATCTAAAAATCAGCTATCACTTTCTTATTCCAAGTATTCTTTGTTATTTTTCTTCTAATTTCTAATTCTTTTATAAACTTTTATTATAGAAATATTTTAAATCATAATCATTTTCTACCTTTTGTTATGAACGAGTCAACTTAAACTCAGTTAATTAATCAATTTTAAGCTCAACTTAGAGGTGACTCAAGCTCAGATCAACTCGTTATACCCCTAGGGTTAAGTCATTTCTCATGATTTTATAATATGAATTTTGGTTTGGAACTGTTTCAAATTATTGAATTTATTTTTAAATTAGTATAATATAAACTATATAGATTTATAACATTAATTTAACATTAAAACCAATAATCTCAAGGTCTATATTGATCAAAATTATAGCATCATATTTTAACTTTTTTTTTTTGGTACTTTCAAATGATGGATTGAAGGGGTAATTGGGTTGGGCTCCATATTGATATTTTAAATGTTATTATTCTCCTTTAAATTTCTTAGGAGATAACTATTTATCATTATATTCGATCATCTTGTAATATAAAATAATAAACTCTCATTCTATTGTTTATAATTATTGAATTTAAATGTCATAAATGTTTTATTATAAACATAATTGGTATGTCACTAAAATCACCTTGATCGAGCACTAATCTTGAGGCATATTTGAATTGGAAACTTTCAAAATTAAAATTGGGACCATCTGAACACCAATTGAGATGGTCCCAATTTTGATCAACTTATAGTCAAACCAAACGTCTTGATAAGATAAACCCAATGACACCAAAACCGATCCAATCCTAGCCCAAATCAAGGGACTAAATTATATTTGGAAGCTTCAAAGTATTAATTGGACAACCAAATAATCTCTAAGTATGACATACTTATAATAAAATCAAGCAACAACGAGACGAATCCAATGAGCTTAGGATCACTTAATTCTGACATTATTAAGACGTTTAAATGCTTGATGAAATATCTATGTTCAAAGGAATCAATATGGGCCATTTTTTATGGAGCACTCTAAATTTACTCTAGATCTCATCCATATTTATGAACCATGCTACTCCTTAACTTAGATAAATAGAGACTCATTTTTCACATTAAATGGGGATGAAAAATAGAGAAAACTAGACAGAACTCTCTTGCAATTTTCAGCCGTCGTCATCGAAGACCATTACCAGATGTTTCCACCGACAACCATCATCACTAATGAGGATCAACATTATAAATCTATACCATCTAAAGCATATTGACATGAATTAACTTTGTTGTTGGGTATCAAAGTCCACCTGTGAATAATTCTTATTGAGAAAATTCAGCTCTATTGTTGAGTATTAACATTTATACTTGATTTATGTACTTTTCCTCTTTTCAACAATAAAGAAATGATGATATTTGTTTCACTAACTATTTTTTTTAAAACCAGGAAGAGCTCAGGGTGGGGAATTGCCCACCATGAAATCTTTTTTTTTTCTTAGGGACTATTTGTTTGACTGTAAAATGAATGCAATATAAAGTAAATGTAGTGTAAAAGAAAATAATTTGAGACTGTTTAGTTGTTTATAAAATAAATGCAAGTGAACTATTATTTCTATTTGGTTGGGTGTATGCAGAGCAACGTAAAATAAGCTCAATTTGGTTGGGTGTATGCAGAGCAACGTAAAATAAGCTCATTTCCCCCAACAGATGACACACCTTGCGACTCCAGTTCCCGCACGAGATGGTCCGGTCATCTTGCAGCTCTAGGTTCCTACATAGAGTGGCCAAATCAACCAAAAGTGGAAAGACATATATTGGAGCAATGAGAAAACCTCTAGTCCGATTCTAAATTCATCCTTCAACTGCTCTGACACCCCAAGTGAATGATCAACACAGGCTACCTGTGTTCTCTTGCTTCGTTGTCTGACCCGACACCCACCTTTAGTGGAGGAACTCGGTGGAGACATAAGACGAGGACTCCTTAGCACTAACCTTTTGTCCAACCCATTGGTGTCAAAGCTCTCGTCACTGAGGAGGTCTTGCGCCGGGAGGCTGTTACATCAGGCTCTCGCACATGCAAGCAAACGCCTCCGCTTGCTCCATGCATGAATGGCTTGCGTCCCGCCATAGCTCATCTCAAGTGAACGAGACCTAAAGCCATACCTGACTCCGCCTTGGAATCTCCAGAAAATCTATGCTCCGAACGTGCCGCCACAGTCGACTCGACGTTGAATCGTCAAAAGCAGCAATCAGCGCCAAGAACAGGGAACCACCACCTGAATTAGAAGATTCAGGATACATAAAGCTATTACACGCACCACCTGAACAATAAAGCTCATGATACAACCAAGATAATAACTTGAGTAAACAGGGAAGAAAATAATTGATAAACCTCTTTGCCATCTTTATTTCTTTAGCTCTTATTTATACAAGCGGGTAAGAATAAGGCTACAGCTAAGGCTATACAAGTAAGCAGTAACTCAAGAAACGGAATTAACAGACAGGAAAAATAGTGCGAACAGAGGACGCTCCGGCGTCATTCCCCCGGAGTAGGAAGACCGTCTTCCTCATAAAAGGGCGTAAGGTCCGTCACATTAAAAGTGGCAGATACTTGATAATCTCCTGGTAAATCGATTTGGTATGCATTGTCGTTGATCTTCTTTTTAATCCGGAAGGGACCATCCGCTCGAGGTTTCAACTTTCCAAATGCTCCCGGAGGGAATCGTTCCTTGCCCAGCCGTATCCATACGAAATCTCCTTCCTTGAACACAACTTTCTTTCGTGTCTTGTTGGCCTTAGCCTGGTATTTAAGGTTCTGTTTAGTAATTGCTTCTTTGACTTGTTTGTGTAATTTCTGAATCTCCTCCCCTCGCTTTGATCCATCCGAGCTGAAAGAGACGGGTGAAGCTATTGGAATTAAATCAATATGCGTAATGGGATTACAACCATAAGCAACCTCGAACGGGCTACGGCTTGTAGCTTGATTTGGCGACCGATTAAAAGCAAATTCAATTTGCGGTAATATTAAGTCCTTGTCGGATGTTTTTACCAACGAAACACCGCAACAGATTTCCTAAACTGCGATTCACAATTTCGGTTTGTCCGTCGGTCTGCGGGTGGGCGGCGGAGCTGAAGTGCAGTTGTGTCCCGAGCTTACTCCAAAGCGTCTTCCAAAAGTGACTTAAAAATTTTACATCTTGATCAGATGTAATTGTTCTTGGAATACCATGTAGCTGAACTATCTCCCGGAAGTATAGATCGGCAATATGAGTAGCGTCTAGTGTCTTTGTGCAGGGAACGAAATGCACCATTTTTGAAAATCGATCAACCACCACCATGATCGAATCTTTGTTTCGTTGTGTTCTCGGTAATCCTAGAACGAAATCAATACTAATGTCGAGCCAAGGAGCTTCAGGCACAGGTAGCGGCATGTATAATCCGGCGTTAGTGCCTTGTGTCTTTGCAATCCGGCAAACACGGCAGCTACGTAAGTATCGTTCGACATCCTTTTTCATAGTAGGCCAGAAGAAGTTTTCAGGTAGCATGGAGAGCGTTTTATCTCTGCCAAAATGGCCAGCAATACCGCCCGCATGACATTCGGTGAGGAGTTCCAATCTGAGGGAATTTTGAGGTATACACAATTGATTACCTCGAAACAGATATCCTTCTTTCATATGAAATAGCTGATAAGGCCCTGCTTGACATCTTGTCCATATATTTTGAAAATATGCATCATTTTTATAAAGTTCTTTTAGGACTTCAAACCCAACAACCTTCGATTGTAGCACCTGTAAAAGCAAATGTCGTCGGCTTAAGGCGTCAGCTACAGTATTATGTTGTCCGGCCTTGTATTTGAGAACAAAATGATAAGCAGCAATCGACTCAACCCAAGATGCATGCCGGCTTTTTAATTTCTTTTGGCTTTGAAGGTACCTCAATGCTTCATGATCCGAGAACAAGATAAATTCGCT